AAAGACAATATATATAAAGGTAAAAGACAATAGGTAAACAGTATTATTAACACACTGGTCGAAAGGCGTCGACAGTGTGTGTGTGTGTGTGTGTGTGTAATAAAATCTTACTGAAACGTTTTGTTCTGAGAGGGAATTTCTTCAGGCTAATGGCTGTTTTCTTGATGGAAATATTCTTATGCGTAAATATGACCATAATTTCGTGTTGGACTAAAAGATGAATTAGTAGGGTAAAGATAATAAGTTATAAAAGTTTACAGTTTTTCGTAATCCTCGTCGGTACATCTAAGTTCTTCATCTTACAGTATTTCTCCTTTCCTCAATATTGGTGCCGATAAAATGTGAATAAATGGAAAAAAAAAACATTAACGATAAAATATATGTAAACACAAAAGCTTTAAAAAAGATGAAAGAGAGTCGCTTAGAGATTAACAGAAATCTAATCATTTCCGAGAACACCCGACTAATATGGCGGCTAGCCAAACCCTGTCATAAATGCCTGATTAGCCATATTTGTGTTTCTTCGACACCTATTGAGCCCGCTTGTGGTTTGTACTGAAGCTCTAGTTCTTGATAGAGAGCGCATCCCCAGGGTCAACACTTTGAATAAGGCTGACCCTTTGAACTCTCTTCGTGCTAGCAAAATCATGAATAACCTCAGTGTATGTATACCGTTTCGAACTTTTAGTCCTCTTCTGTATAAGATAAATCCTCGAATAAACCATATTAATCTGAAGAAGTTCTGTGGCACCATGCATCCAGGCAGAGAAAGAAAGGCAGAAAGGGAAAGGAAAGAAAAGAAGAAAGGAAGGGAAAAAGTGAGGCGAGATCCGAATCGTGGGTGATAGGCGGACACACACACGGCTAGGAGGCAATAAAAAAAAGAAAGGGTTATTTTGATAAGTGGCAAATGGCGAAAGAGTGTCGTTACAATGACAATGAGATTTGAGTGGGTAGGGAAGTGTTATCTAAGGATATGAAAACTATTGGTACGGGTAGGCATCGGCCAAGGGAAAAATTCAAGTGAAAATACTATTTCGATAAGTAACGAGAAACAGGCCACTAAAAAAGACTTTGGACACATATGAAAATTAAAGGCCACCTACGAGTAATCATTGACCGATTTTCCTACTTGGCCTGCGCGAATGGAATTGTGTTATCAAGAAATGTTCGCCAAAGAAAGTCCACTTGAAAACGTTAATTTTGATAATTGACAAAACACAGGTGTAGCTACAGAGCCTAAGTTAGATATGGAAAATTAAAATCCCACACAAGCAGTCTCGCTAACTAAACTCTTTTCGACAAAACAAACTTTTGCCCTGCGATAATAAAAATTTTGTTATCAGACACATGAACCGAAGGAAAATGAATAGAACCAGAAATGTTTTTCTTTCTTCCTTGGAGACGTCAGACTGACTGAAAACTTGGAAAAATTCTTTTCTGAGGCCATGTCGGAAACCAACCATCTGATGAATTAGCGATAAACTACTTGACAAACGCCAGGTGTTGAACAAAGAGTTGTCATATTATCCGTTCACTATAACGGCGATTTGAAAGGAAGAAAAAGGAAAGAGAAGAGATAATTAATTTTTTTTTTTAGTTAAGCAAGGTATTATTTTTCTTCCGAAACAAAGCCGCGGATTGTTCACGCCCGACTAAGACGTCATTGGTCAAGTGGTGATCACGTGACGCACGAGGGAGGAGGAAAGATACCCGACCAAGACCTCATTGGCCGAGAGTGATCACGTGACGCACGAAGAAGACTGTCGACGCCCCCATCCAGAGTATAAGTATGAGAAGCTGCTACGAAGAAGTGGGGAGGGCAGTTCACGCCCCTCAGAAGCATGGTGAGAAAGTGGGAGGAAAAAAATTACCAAAATGGAAAAGAGTGGAAAATCCCTAACCAGAAATAAAAAGAGGTGGATATGTATTTAGAATTATCGAGGAACTCCCGACGCCAACAGACCCAACCCGGTTTTGTCGGCGTCAATAAAAAGCCAGGCCCCAACAGGCAGAAATCAGTTCGGGCCCTGGCGGCAGAGATGAGTATCCAAAGTTGGAGCTCCAGTTTCCAGAGTTGAAGCCGCCCCAAGATAGCTGACCAAGATTCACGCAAAAACTCCGGACTCCTCTTCAACCAAGAACAATTATTTTGAAGAGCGACTTAGGACCAGACCACCGAAATAAGTTTTCGACTTTCGTCCAGAGACACACCGAAACACAAATTTCTTAGAGAGCAAACAACTTGAAGCGTTAAAACTTGCCTAGCGAAAACGACGTGTCACAATCCACAGAACGGGTCGGGAGATAGATGCAGTCCTATGTATCGAACAACTAGACATAAGTTTGTTACCTTTTTTTTGATACTTTGAACTTTTGAGTTTTCATTTTATTTTATTTTATGCATATTTGTGTGTTATCACCCCCGTTGAACTCAATTTGGATTACGGCCCCAACCACTGTTTGATCTCGTCTGCCTAAGATCAATTCACAATGTGGGTAGGCAGACTGGTGATCAGTGCAGTTACCTTGGTAACCAGACGTTGGAAGCAGGTTGGGAACGGCGAGGCTGATATCAAATCTAACCAGATTCCCACCCGAATCACCAAAAGGTTAGAACGTCACATTTGGGTGTGGTGATCGATACCAAGCCAGTTGGTCGTCACAGGACGAGACAACACGACTGACGCGACAGGCGGACGTCACGTTTGGAGCAGCGACACCCGGACGGAGCAGCGAGGAGCGAACAGCTGGCGCCGCGGCGAATACGTCACAATTGGTGCTGTTTAGGGACGTCACAACTGGTGTCGTGACCGGGATAGGACCCTGGAACGGCCACGTCACAACTGGCGCCGTGGTAGATCAAGGAAAATGGAAACGAAAAACACCTTTGGTTAAGACCAATTGAAAATTCTGCGATGAGAATAAGACTTGGAGAATCAGATTCTCACAGGAAATATAGCAAGATGGAAATCAGGACGAGGCAGTAGACTATCTTGTGTAAATGAATGGAAGAACAAGAATTGTCAGTAAGAATTGAGTGACTGATTTGTTATCGAAGACTTATCAATCTTTTTCAGGTTATTTATGGTCATAAAATATTTTTAGATTGTAAGAATTTTTCTTCAGAAAATAGATGTTTGAGTGATACTAATTGTTGTGAGACCGTAACATACCTACAACATGGACTCTTCCAGAACTATATAAAGTATGCGATATAACACTCTAGGAGAAGAGGAAAGAGAGAGAGAGAGAGAGAGAGAGAGAGAGAGAGAGACTATTCTAATACCGTAGTATCAGCCGCGTACGACTACCAATATTGGACACTAGCACATAGTAAGCTCCGCTTACCTTACACTATCTTTGTAACTTTTTTTTGTTTAATATATCTTTCTTACCTCTAATCCATGTTCCGTGTTTTTCCTTCCGTGGTCCAAACTTTGGGCCCACATCAATAATTATACTGAAAAATTTTCGGTCAGACAACCTATAAACACTACCCCCATATATATATATATATATATATATATATATATATATATATATATATATATATATGTGTGTGTGTGTGTGTGTGTGTTTGTGTGTGTTTTGTGAGACCGCAACATACCTGCAACATGGACTCTTCCAGGACTATATAAAGTATGCGATATAACACTCTAAGAGAAGAGGAGGAAAGAGAGAGAGAGAGAGAGAGAGAGAGACTATTCTAATACCGTGGTATCAGCCGCGTACGACTACCAATATTGGACACTAGCACATAGTAAGCTCCGCTTACACTTACACTATCTTTGTAACCCTTTTTGTTTAATATATCTTTCTTACCTCTAATCCGTGTTCCGTGTTTTCCTTCCGTGCTCCAAACTTTAGGCCCACATCACTAATCTTACTAATTAACCCATAGCTCTGGAAGAAGAGGTGAATTCATACCAATGCGAAAGGTATTTAAGTGTAAGTGTATATACCGAACCCAACCAGAATGGGAACTCCGCTCTTCGATTTACAATTCCGATCCATTATCCATTACACGACTCGCACATCCAAGCTTACTGCAACTATTCTTCCCAAGCGGTCACCTAACCAGGATCGACGTTGCATAACTTTGGTGATCTTACGAGAACCGGTTTATGAACAGTTGAGAAGAGATAACAAAAAAGACAAAACCTTAATAAGAGCTACAAAGTTGTGGATAGACCGACGCCCTAAAAGGACACATAGAAAAAGATAACATAGTACCTCTATTCTCTCATTAAACTTGACCGAAATTCACCATAAATAATACTTCATTCCTTTCTTTCTAGTTGCCAGTAAATTAGTATGGTAATTTAATTATCGGTAGATGTCAAAATATTGTCAAGCAAACGCAGAGATTTACCTAACGGAGTACCGACATTGTAACATGGAAATCCGAAGATGCTGGTTGACTAGCGAAAGATGCTTTTCTGAAACTAAGGAAAGTTTTAATAAAATAAGAAAATCTGCAAAGTAACAAGAAATCTATGCAGAACTTTTTTGTAATATATAATCTTATACGTTGCATTAAACAAACACGTAGCAACAGGGGCGTAGTTCTATCGAAGGATACTGAGAATACTATGAACAAAATATGTGAGCAACGAGGAGGTTTGCCAGTAAAACTCGTACTACAAGGAAATACATTCTTACAGTTAAAAAGAAACAGTTGAAATTTCTTAGATATATAACGAGGAAAGACGCTATGGAGAATTTAACACTCACAACATGTACTGCAAAGCAAAACATGCAGGTCGAAACAGCGAATAACCTGCATGATGATTATGTTGATTGGTTGATTGATTCGTTTTTAACGGCTTATTAACACCTTTCAGGTTATTTAAAGCCAGAAAAGAAGTGTTTTTTTACCTTTGCCAAGGATATATACGAGTAAGTGACTATAACGAACTTAGCGGGAATTGGAAGTCGGCACTCTGATTAACAATTCATAACCATTACGATTACCTCACCCCGCCCACACATTCAAGCTTACAACACCTGGTATACCCAAGCGGTCACTTATATAGGTACTGACCAGGCTCGACGTTGCTTAACTTCGGTGATCGTAGGGGAAATGATGAGTTTGTCTGAACATGGAAAAAGATGTAGAGTGTCAAACCTGAAAGTACCTATTCTATTATTAATAGACTCTCCCACACATAATAAGTAGTAGTAGTAGTAGTAGTAGCGGTCGCCAGTTGACCTCAGTGGTGTTGAGTGAGTCAGTCGATGTCGGACATTGAAGTATCAACCATCACAGCTAGATTGCTGCGTCATTAACTCTTGTTTCAAGTTCTTAACGTTTTGTACGTCGGACCCTTTTTAGGACCGACTTAGTGAAATACAAGCCTCCACTGTGAAAACTACTCTACAACATATAGTAATAAGTGAATTAGAGCAACAAAATGCAGAAAGTTGAGGAGCGCCATGATCGCTTACCTCTTGAGTTGATATGTTTGTTTTGTTTTACGGCAATGGGTCATTTAATGCCAACAACTTTTTCTGGTAATATTTTTGTTTTGTCAAAAACCATTTCAGTTAATTTTTTTTTTTCTCAAAAATGTATAGCTGGTAATTTTTTTTTTTCAAAAACGTACAGCTGGCAACATTATTTTTCAAAACCGTATTATCAGAGGCCTGATGGACATAGTTTATCCTCTTACCCAGGACGCGGATGTAGTTTATCGTCATACCCAGGACGCGAATGTAGTCTTAGTGTTAACTATTTGCCCATAGCTGGGACCCTGAGAGGTGCTACCACCCCGGGTCAGGGTGGACCTGAGAACACCAGCAATTAAGAGGTGGTTCCACACTCCTCAAAATCTCCTGATCAGAGGTCTTGCTGTAGGACGTAGTTTATCGTCTTACCCAGGACGCGGATGCAGTTTATCTTCATACCCAGGACGGCAGTTGATATGACACACAAAAGAATAATTAAAATAACCGACTGGGTTCTATAGCCTTGGGTGGCAATCAGTCTAGGAGAAGGAAATCTCTAAATTCAAAACCGGATGTGGCCCTACCGATGCGCATACTACGCTGCTTAGGAAATAATCGATTCGATGATCCCGATTATGGTCGACTCCTCTTCTAGTAGTAACACTTGCATTAATTCCTGAACACAGACAATATATCTTATCTTGATGTTTTGTTTATTTTTACCGCAAAAATTGCTAGCAAATTATTTCCAGTTGTCTTAAGTCAATAGTAATTCCTGACCACTGAAAACCAATTTCCCTACATTTGCTGTACGCTTAATACAAAGTGATTACCGTTACTTGTCCAAACAAAGTTAGGTCAAACGTTACAAAATTCATTATTTAGACGTGAAATATTTCCCCTCCAGCTGCAATCATTTGATTTCTTACTACCGAAAATATCTAATGATTATCGAAAATTTCATAGCCAAGGGGTCAATCAATATGTCATGCTAAGAAAAGCCGTAAATTTGTTTACGTGGACACAATTTCAAATTGGTATTGCATTATAAAATAGTGATTATTAATTTGAGTTTTTCAGTCAAATGAAGGAATATTTCCCCAGGTTTCATACCTGACTAGTTTTATCAAAAACTATATAAATAAGTGATTAAATATTTAATATTTGAGGAAATATCTGATCTACCTGTGATTTTGAATCAAAAACGTTTCCAGAAACAATGCCCGAGTCTTTGATAATGAAGTACCATTAATTACGAATGGAAATCCGAAACAAAAGCGTCACATAATTTAATCCTTTGCATTGCTTAATACAAGCACTTCAACATTGAAAGGTTTAAGGAATTTAAATAATAGACTATATGAATAATACATTATATGGACATTAGATTATATGAATAATAGATTATATGAATAATAGATTATATGAATAATAGATTATATAGATAATAGATTATGTAAATATCATATAAAAAGAATATATATATATAAATAAATGATTGCATGACTATAAAAAAGATCTTTTAAAATACAAAACTCTCAATGTATTAGGTCCTCACCGTTTGACTATAATTTTGATTTAAAAAATGCTATTTTATTTAAGAGTAAAACATAAGACAAAATTATATAGAAAGTGCTTTAATCACTAGATCACCCACAGTAAATCTGCGTCCAGTTTCATAACAGAAGAAGAGTCGACCATAGTTGGAATCATCGAGTCAATCCTTTCCCGAGCAGCGTAGTATGTGCATCGCTAAGGGCCACATCCGGTTTTGAATTTAGAGATTTCCTTCGCCTAGACTGATTGCCACCCAAGGCTATAGAACCCAGTCGGTTATTTTAACTCTTCTTTTATATGTCATATCAACTCAGGAGATAGGTGCTTTTATATCCAAACACGTATTTTTTTTTCAGCGTGTGGATGAGGAGAGTTATATCAACGGAAAATCACTTTAGACCGATGATGTTCTAAAGTGTGAAACGCGTCACACGACATTTATTTTCAACTAAGTCGTTGATTTTCAGAATATAGATACAAAAATCGGTAATC